CCCCACACACACACAAAAAAAAAAAGATATCATGGTTGAACTGACCAGCCCCAGGGAATTCAGAATGGTTTTATTGTAGTCATCCGGGGCCAGGTCGCACTAGCAGCGTTGAGTTTCCTCAACGCCTGAATCTGGACGTGTTTGTGGCCATGTGCGGTTGAGGAAACTCAAACGCGATTTCTGCACATCTCCACAAACACGATCAGATTCGGACGTTGAGGAAACTCAACGCTGGTAGTGGGACTTGAACCCCCGGTGGTATCTGGGTTCGAACTCGGATCTGTATTTCAACAGTTCATGTGTGTACCGCCGGTGCATAACTGTCATTTTGTTTTATTTTAGTTTTTTTCCAAAGAAACTCTGCGCATTTAGGAGTAGGTAGTGGAAGGTAAACAAACAGAAGTTGAGAGAAGAATATAGACAGTTGTGATCACCCCAATATTAAAAAAAAAAAAAGAAAAAAAAAAGAAAAAAAAAAAAGAAAAAAAAAGGCAAAGTCAAATCGGGCAGGGAATCCCTCAACAAGCAACCGGGAGAAACAATTCTGGGGGACCATTACCCAGCTTAGAACACTAACAGTGTCTTGGGCGGGGGTGAGGGTAGACTCAGCGCCCAATGGTCCCAATGGTCCCAATGGTCCCAATAGTCCCAATGCTCCTAATGGTCCCAGTAGGCCCAAATGGTCCCGATGCTCTGGAAGAACAAACCTCAACCAGATGGGTCTACATGCATGCACCGGAAGCATGAACCTGGTCAGAAAACAGTTGTGGGTGTGTTCCATTCGGTTCAGACGCAGCCAGGTACAGTCTCTGTTTGCTCTTTTCCCTCTCTGTGTCGGATTACTCTGTGTTGGGTCTGTTTTCTGGCCATGTACACTTGCAAAAAGTTTCTGTCATTTCTCAGGAGGGACAACAACAATGTACCTAGCTCAGTTGGTAGTACTTGGTACACCCATGAACTCTTGAAATACAGACCCAAGTTCGATTCCAGATGAAGGACCGCCCCTTGTATGAAAAAAAAGAAATAATAATAATAATAATTTCGGAATTACATGGGCTCAGGGGCCTGGACTCACTAGCGAAGTATTCTACGATGTGTGACGCAATTTTATGGTTTTTTGGAAAATACAAAGTGATTTTTTATTTGCATGAATGGATCGTTTTCTGATTTAAAATGAATTGAAATAGCACATAAAAGTATGAAGAACAGCTGTGCACCCGAATTCATGGGTTGGCATGATCTCCTTCACGTAAGTCTTCAKAGTGATGTACCGTGACAATAAAATGTGTCCACAAACACAGCCACAAGGATGAACAAGTAATGGCTATAGGGATACATTCATCCCCATGTATCTCATGATGCCTCTAACAGGCCATCCGACAGACGCGGAAGCGTTCCGCGTTCCTGTCAGATCCACCACGATATCTGACTTTCACATTTCAAGTTCTATTTCTCAGAGCCAAAATAAAAAAAAACGAAGTCTGGAAATCAACCCCCCCCCCGCCCCCCCCTTTAGAGCCCATAAAATCCAGACTTCCCGCCCACGCAAAGCCACGAGCTATCATGTCCAAGTTTGTTTTTCTTTTTTTTTTTCGACGCATCTCATTGGACAGGAGGTGGGCATCTTTACAGTCCCCGCTCGGAAACGACCAGGCCGTCGAGATCCTATTTATTCAATTTCTTTTTTTTTTTTCGACGTATCTCATTGGACAGGAGGTGGGCATCTTTACAGTCCCTGCTCGGAAACTACCAGGCCGTCGAGATCCTATTTATTCGACGGCTGTACTGTGTCACTCGAGGCCACACGTGATCGAAATCCTGAACGAAGTGGTATAATACTTTGCTAATGGGTCCAGGCCCCAGTCAGTTCAACGATGATATCTCAAGGCTGTTGCCATTTTAAACCACCAGTACCTGGCCCAGCTATCGAGTCCGAGCCTCGGCCGACCGGTACGCCGATCCGTGCCGAGGCTCGGACTACCGGGCGCAGGCATCCCGAACGTCGGCCTGAAAGGTGCCAAAAAAAACGGGGAAAAAAAAACGAAACGGGAAAAAAAAAACGAAAAAAAAAAAAGAAATAAGAAAAACGAACGGGTGCAGAGAGAGAGAGAGAGGGGCTGCAATCTCTCAAATTTTTTTATTTTTTATATTTTTTTGGAGAAATCCATCCATTGCAAACCAAGAAGGGACAGGGGCCTGGGAACACACCCCACAAATCAACCCGGTACACAACATGCTCGGGCCATTACCCAGCTTTAGGCTCCTGGAAACCGGGTCCAGTGTCCCTTTCCAAAAGGAAATCTCTCCAAACTAAAAAAGGTTCCTCACTGCAAAGATCACAAAATGTGTCTAGTCACCTATACCAAGGAAAAACAGAGACTTCAAAGATGACACAGTTACGGAGGGGAGCTAAAACGCTCCCCATGCCCAGATGGGGTGAGGAACCAGGACGAAAAGCAGATTCTGCCATCGGCAGTAAGATTGACTAATCTGGACCCCTTACCCCAGGTGTCATCGAACCATTTCCACACCTTATACTTGTTGCCTCCCTTATTTCTGCGAATCCAGTCACTGCCTATAGTAACTCTGAGTTGCTGCAGTACCGTGTTCTTGATGGCATTGTCGGAGATGAAGTTATTCTTGAATAATTGATCATTTCTGTCGTCCCAAATTATCTTCATGAGGATAGCACGCGCCACTTGTGCAATCTCTCTCTCTCTCTCCTGTCTCTTATACACATCTAGATGTGTATAAGAGACAGCTTGAAAACTCTTTCTCAAGAGTGGTGTGCCGAG